TTGCAGGCACAACATTTCCATGCATCCCGACAAGTATTTTGTTTGTTTGCTTCTCCGGCCAGCCAGCTTCCTCTGCCTTTTATAATGATATAATTATCACTGTATTGCAGTGAGCAACACCTTGCAAAGGAGACACAATACACACATTTATCAAGTCCGGTGCCTTGAACCTTTTGGCAGCGCATGGGAATGCAAGCACATGGAGCCTCTCTGGGAAATGACTTTTGACAATGCAAATATATAAATATTGCATGAGTTTTGCCCCACTTTTGGATGAGTTTTCCATCATGAGAGCAATTCTGCTTGTTGCAACCCTCCTTGGGGCAACGTTGGGCCAGGAAACCTTTGCTGGGTGAGTAGAGTTTTCCATTCCTCTTGAGGTTTGTAAGCTATATGGCCATCTGTTGGGAGGGCTTTGATGGGATCTTAACAGGTTGGGATGGACTGGATGGCCTTTGAGGGTCCATTCCAGCTCTCGGATTCTATATCGCTCACCCTTCTGTTTTTAAAAAATCGATCTTTATTGTAGTATATGAAAAAACAACACAAAATATGGGATCTTCAAAATTGGCCAAAACTGATGCTGACCATTATAGAATGTTGTCTAATATCAAAAGATTTTACTTGAAGCCACAAACATCACAAGCCGCTTTGAGTTTCCTTTATGGAGATTAAAAGTGGGGCATAAATAAACAATAAACAACAACAATAATATATTATTTTCTATATAAATAAAAATGTAATGTTCATTTGTGGGATTAACAGAACTCAAAAACCACTGGGGGAATTGACACCAAATTTGGACACAAGACACCTAACAACCTAATATATGTCCTTCACTCAAAAAAACACTGAAAACCACAACAGAAGGGGCTTTAAAAGCCCCAAAAAATTAAATGACAAAAAACTAAATGACAATACAGAAAAAAGGGAAGAAAGAGGGAAGGATAGGGTAGAAATGCTGGAAATAAATAAATAAATAAATACATTAAATGCAATGACATCTGAACAACAATGTCTGAACAACGATGAGCTATGTGTCCAATATGATACAAACCATTCTTGGGAAATGCAATGTTATACTACAGGACATCTTAGAAGATGTTCCGTTATACAATGCAGGTGCTCATGTGAATTGTTCAAGATCCCACATGTTTATTGAGAAGAGATATAGATAATAGTTCAAATTAATAGATTTTATATATGTTATTATATTTTTTATATATATATATATATATATATATATATATATATATATATATATAATACATAAATGTCATATATAAATAAATATTTTAATTATATTTCATTTCATTATCAAAGTTTCCCCCAAAAGGAAGATAGAGTGGATAGGAAATACAAGGAGAGAATACTATTGCATGTGTTTGTTGTTGTTGTTCATTCATAATAAGGTAAAGATAAAGGTTTTCCCCTGACATTAAGTCCAATAGTGTCTGACTCTGGGGGTTGGTGCTCATCTCCATTTCTAAGCCAAAGAGCCAGCGTTGTTCGTAAATGCCTCCAAGGTTATGTGGCCAGCATGACTGCATGGAGCGGTACCTATTGATCTACTCACATTTGTATGTTTTCTAACTGCTAGGTTGGCAGAAGCTAGGGCTAATAGCGGGAGCTGACGCTGCTCCCCGGATTTGAACCTGCAATCTTTCGGTCAGCAAGTTCAGCAGCTCAGCGGTTTAACCCACTGCACCACCGGGGGCTCCCATTATATAATAATATTATACTATATTGTTGTTGTTGTTATATAATGTTGTTGTTGTATAATATATTATATAAGAATATTATAATATATTATATAACAACAACAACAACCTTCTTTAGCATAGAGAAGGAAAGCCTGCAAGGGGATATCCTTGGGTGCATCTGCACTGTAGAATTAATGCTGTTCGACACTGCTTTAACTAGCTTGAAGACTATCTAGGTTTCTTAGGGACCATAAGCAGACCATGAGCCAAAAGTGTGATGCAGCAGCTTATAAAGATCAATGCGATTCTAGGCTGCATCAAGAGAATAGTATCTAGATCAAGAGAAGTTCTAGGCAACACAATTCATGCTCTGGAACCCTGGCATTTAATCATCCAGTGCCCTTTGACAGAGAAGGCTAAAGATGTATTGTCGAAGGCTTTCATGGCCGGAATCACTGGGTTGTTGTAGGGTTTTTCGGGCTATATGGCCATGTTCTAGAGGCATTCTCTCCTGACGTTTCGCCTGCCTCTGAGGATGCTTGCCATAGATGTAGGCGAAACGTCAGGAGAGAATGCCTCTAGACCATGGCCATATAGCCCAAAAAAACCTACAACAGCCAAGGCTAAAGATCTTATCAAACTTCTTTAGGGGTCCGTTTCAAATCTACGATACTATATCTGTCACATACATGTGTGTGTGTGTGTGTGTGAATCATATATATCTATCTATATCTATGGCTGGATGGCTCTTTGTCAGGAGGGCTTTAATTAGATTTTCTTTCCCTGATGAAGGGAGTTGGATTGGATGACCTCAAGCCGCATTTCTCAACTTGGGGTGGGGGGAGGCATCAGAAGGGTCTCCAAAAACCATTAGAAAGCACATTATTATTTGTTGCTCATGGGGGTTCTGTGTGGGAAGTTTGGCCCAATTGTATTGTTCATGGGGTTCAGAATGGTGAACTATAAATCTCAGTAGCAACAACTTTCATATGTCAAGGTCTATTTCCCCCCAAACCCCATCTGTGTTCATATTTGGGCAAATGGAGTATCCTTGCCGAGTTTGGTCCAGATCATATTGTCAAAGGCTTTCATGGTCAGGATCACTGGGTTGTTGTAGGTTTTTCAGGCTGTCTGGCCATGTTCCAGAAGCATTATCTCCTGACGTTTTGCCTGCATCTATGGCAGGCATCTTCAGAGGTTGCAAGGTTGTGAGGCATTGTCATACAGCCCGAAAAACCTAATTATATCATCCTCATAAACCATATCTGGAACATCCAGCTTCCTAAACAAANTTCCTTCCTTCTTACCTCCTTCCTCTCTCTCCCACTTTCTTCCTTTCTGCCTCTCATCCTTCCTTTCCTCCCGCCTCCCTCCATTTCTTTCTTTCCCTCCTTCCTCTCCCTTTCTCTTTCCTTCCTTCCTTCTCCATTCCTTTTTTCTTTCCTTCCTTCTTCTCTCTGCCTACCTGTTTTCCTCCTCTTCTTCCCCTTTTTCTTTCCTTCCTTCCTGTCTCTCTGGGCCTTCCCTTTCTTCCTACCTCTCTCTCTCGCTCTCTCCTTCTTCCTTCCTTTTTTTGCAGTGGGCTGTAGTGGGAGATACCTTTCCGGTGGGCTGCCAGGTACAAAGCTCAGTCGTCTTCCATGACTCTACGTTCCACAACAATCCGGACACGAAGAACCCTTTGTACAAGTAAGCACTTCCCTGTACCCCTCCCTTGCGTCATTTGAGGCAAATATTGGGGTACCACGAGGTACTAGCCCTGGGCCTTTCAGGGTTCACCCATGACTTGGTGGATGAAATAGAGCACTGAACTGAAAGGGAGCTTCCCAGCGGCTTCTTCCTATAGAAAAGTGATTTGGCTGGTACAGGACCGGGAAAAGTGATGATTTGGCTGCTAAGTTGACATAGGATGTGGCATAGGATGCATCTATTGCACTTGTGTTGTGGCTGAGAGGTTCTCTGATGATGAGGATGATGGGATTCAGATTCCTGGCTCTTTTTCTGTGCCTCAGATCTCTGGGCCTGCTTCTAGGTCTTTTTCTGAGACTCCCACAGACAGTGCAGAGTCAACACAGCGGTTCTCAGAAGAAAAGAATTTTAACAAAGGAGATAGAGAACAGGTGGGGAGTGACAATGGAAGTGCAGAAAGCCTTGACAGTGACCTGACCCGGCAAGCTCGTCTTGATTTGCGGGTCAGGAGGAGTTCTCGCCTGGCTGGCAGACGAGAAGCCAGCTCGGGGAAAGGTCATCGCAATGCTTTCATGTTGGTGAGAGCATAATGTTTTCATGTTAGAAAGGTATTTAGGCTTCTTGCAAACTAAGAGAAAGCGTCAGTTCAATGTAGCTTGTTAGCCTGAAAGCTTCATGGAATAACCTAGCTGGAAAGCAGCATGCTTGGGATTTCTTACCTTGTGATTCTTGGGGCAATTGTTTTATTGTTTGTACCTGGGACTCTGTTTTGAACTTTGCCTATAGGATTGTGCCTCTTGTTTTTACCTGAAGATCTTTGGAACTATATTCTGCATTTAACCTAAATCTTTGGAACTTTGCTATGCTTATTCTTTATTTTGACTTGGACTTTTTCCTCAATAAACTATAAAGCTACAGCTCTTGTGTGGTGGTGTTTGGAAGCAAGGCGAAACTTACTCTGAGTTGCAACAAGTTGAATGGCTCCACAGTGCTGCCATTTGCAGTGAAAGAGACTCCAATCCCAAGTTCAAGCCTTTGGCTGTATCTGAATCTCTATGAATCTCTTCTTGCTTCTTAGCACCAGGCACGGCATGTATCATCCCAACTGTGGCTTGGAGAACGTCCTGATGTCGTGGGGACATGATGGTAAGCCATCTCACATTGTATGGTAGGAAATACAATCGCTTCTGTGGCCATGAGACATGAATCCGCTCCGGAGTTTACTCCGAACTTTTGAAAACTCCAGATTTAATCCCTTGTCAGTGGGTAGGAATTCCACTGCCATGTTTGAGCGTTGTCCTTAAATAATTCAGCTTGCTGCCCCCATTCCACTCAAATAGGCTGCACAACTTGGGGTCCATCTACACTGTGTACTTAACACAGTTTGACACCACTGTGCCTGAATACTATGGGGTCCTGGAAGCTGTAGTTTGATAAGTTCTTGGCCCTCTCTGCCAAAAATTGCTAAACTATAACTCCTCTGATTCTGTAGTATTGACGCATAGCAAGGAAAGTGGCGTTAAACAGGATTAATTCTTCAGTGTAGATGCACTCTTAGTGGCTGCTGCTAAGATCTGGAAATCGTTTCACCGGTTCCTCTTTAAGCAAGTGAAGAAAAATCCTGTTATGTTACTGGACTCCCTGAGTAAGAATCCAGATTTGCTTTGCTTGATCTCCCTCCTTTTCTGCAAAGCTGGAGGATATTTTGGGGTTTGGGGTTAGGGTCTCTTTAGGGAAGGACCAAAAATGCAAACTTACCAGGATCAATGGACAAGGCAACTTGTCTATTTCTCTTATTTTTTCTAGAGTACATGTACAAAGTCATGAAATACAACCAATTCAGCCTCCCGCAAGAGGTAAGTCAGTCCACCTCATTCATATGAGATCACTAGGACCCCATCCTCCTCATTGCTCTCCTATTTCTCTTTCGTTCCTGGGTTAGAAATGTTGTTTCCTAATTAGTTTAGCTCAGTTGGTAAATCACTAGCAATTATAAGATCTATCAACTGAAAGGTTGCCAGTTCGAAGCCCCGGGTCGGCATGAGCTCCCAACTGTCAGCCCAGCTTACTGTTGACCTAAGCTGTTCGAAAACAGCTTTAGCTGTAATTAGAGAAAATAGGTAATGCTAAAAGTAGGGAGGTATTTTACAACACCATAAAGAAAGTAGATTGGAAAATGCAGGGTGACCAAAGGGAAGTCCTGACGGCTCTTCGTCATAGAGGATGGAGCAACCGCACCCCCCATGGCTGGATTCAAGCCCAACCTTCCATGGCACCAAAAAGCTGGACATTGAGTCGAAACAACACACCTCCTTCTGTTCTGTCTGTCTCCATATTGTCTATACAAAGTGGCATTGGATGTTTGCCGTGTATGTGTACTGTGATCCGCCCTGAGTCCTGTTTGGCGAGAACGGCAGAATATAAATAAAGTATTATTATTATTATTTGAAACACAACAAGATGAGTCCACAGCAGACAAGGTCACTCTGCTGGCTCTTGTATTGGATCACACGTCGGACACTTCCCAAGTGTCTAGGACTGTGTGATGTATCGGCAAATAATGCGTGCAGATCCCAGTAAGTTGGCCTTCTGCAGCTGGCAGATGGTAATTTTGTCAGCGCCGATTGTATTTAAGTGCAGGCCAAGGTCTTTAGGCACTGCACCCAGTGTGCTGATCACCACTGGACCACCTTGACTGGCTTGTGCCAGAGTTTGTTGTTGTTGTTGTTGTTGTTGTTGTAGTATTGTCGAAGGCTTTCATGGCTGGAATCACTGGGTTGTTGTAGGTTTTTCCGGGCTATATGGCCATGTTCTAGAGGCATTTTCTCCTGACGGTTCACCTGCATCTATGGCAAGCATCCTCAGAGGTAGTGAGGTCACTACATCTGAGGATGCTTGCCATAGATGCAGGCGAAACGTCAGGAGAAAATGCCTCTAGAACATGGCCATATAGCCCGGAAAACCTACAACAACCCATTATTATTATTATTATTATTATTATTATTATTATCATAAAAACATGGGAAACGTTTATTAAACTACAAAAACATTGTTTCTGTGGGAGGGACATCCTGCTATAGCATCTTTTGCTCCAGTCAATACAGGGTTTTGGGTATGATATTATATGCATGTAGCCTAGTATGAGTTAGGCCTATATTTACTAGTAACTCTCACACAACTACTTATTTACTGGGTTGTTGTAGGTTTTTCCGGGCTGTATGGCCATGTTCTGGAGGCAATTTTTCTCCAATTTTTCAGGGAAACGGAAAGCAAGGAGAAAAATTGCCTCCAGAACATGGCCATACAGCCCAGAAAAACCTACAACAACCCATGGATTCCGGCCATGAAAGCCTTCGACAATACTTATTTACTTATAGCAATCCCCATCTGTAACAGTTAACGGAGAGTTTACTTTATTAGGAAGACCTCCTGATGCTAAGAGTTGTTCAGCAGTGGAATTTGGTGCTACCTGGGAGTCTGGTGAAGTCTCCTTTCTCTGGAGGCTTTTAAACAGAGGCTGGATGACCATCTGTCAGGAAGGCTTTGAGTGTTCCCGCAGAGAAAGGAGTTGGGCTGGATGACCTTGGTTGATCCCTTCCATCACTATGATTCTATGATTCCTTCCTTGGGGAGCAGAGCTGAATAACACGAGATCTTGTGGGTCCCCAAAGCAGAAAGAGCATCCTTGCAAAATAAGGAGGGAGAAGAAGTCCAGCGATTCTTTTACCCATCACCATGCGACTTGGTTTCTCCATAGGCTTTCTACGTGGTCCGGTTCCACTCCTTCTACCCGTGGCATACAGGAGGGGACTACATGCACCTCTGCAACGAGGAGGACCTCCGGATGTTGCCGTGGGTCAAGGAATTCAAGTAAGCCTTCCTGAAAGGACACCCAAGTGGGAAAATACCAGCTAGAACCCTCCTTTGTACAGGACTTGCTTCCTTGAGGAGTATATTGGGACTTACTGCCGTGTCCCTCGTTTTCCAATAACCCAGTGCCTTCAGGGTCCTTTTATCCATTCAGATGCTGGAAGCAAGGAGATCATTCAACAGGTTTATTTGACCAAATCATCCTGCCGGGTGAACAAGTGCCACACCAAAACTGGGAATGCTGAGTATATATGCCAATATATATGTGTGTGTGGAATATTTTCAAGTTGTGGATGGTGGAGTCTGTGGATAAAGAGTGCTAATTGTAACTCAGCTTCTGTCTTCCTCCACTTTTATCTGTATTCAAGACTGTTGGATAGTTGCCTCCGAGAGCTACAAGTTGAGTAACTTATCCAAAATGCTTAGGACCACAAGCATTTCGGATACAGATACTCATATGTACATAACGAGGCATATTAGGGTGCATCTACACTGTAGAATGAATGCAGTTTGGCACCACTTCAACTGTCATGGCTCAATGCAATGAGATCCTGGGAGTTGTAGTTTCATAAAACCTTATCTGCTAATGGGTTGCTTACTTACTTAGGCGATCCCTTGTTTTCCGAGGATGATTGTCTTCCAGTATTCTTGTGGGTCTGTATGTGGCTGTGGAGCCCTATTCTTGCTCTGCGTTTTCTTCCGCAGTTAGGGCATTGGTTTCCAGGTAGAAGGTGGTCTCGGTCGGGGTTGGCTTGACGCACCTTCCTCTTGCCACGCTTCTCCCTTTTGCCCTCCATTCGTGCCTCTTCAAATTCTGCAGCACTGCTGGCCACAGCTGACCTCCAGCTGGAGCACTCAAGGGCCAGGGCTTCCCAGTTCTCAGTGTCTATGCCGGAGTTTTTAAGGTTGGCTTTAAGCCCATCTTTCAATCTCTTTTCCTGCCCACCAACATTCCGTTTTCCGTTCTTGAGTTCGGAGTAGAGAAACTGCTTTGGGGGACGATGGTCGGGCATCTGGACAACGTGACCGGTCCGGCGAAGTTGATGGCGGAGGACCATCTCTTCAATGCTGGTGGTCTTTGCTTCTTCCAGCATGCCGATATTTGTCCACTTGTCTTCCCAAGAGATTTGCAGGATTTTCCGGAGGCAGCGCTGATGGAATCGTTCCAGGAGTTGCATGTGACGTCTGTAGACAGTCCACGTCTCACAGGCATAGAGCAGGGTTGGGAGGACAATAGCTTTATAGACAACCACCTTGGTATCCTACGGATATCTGCTTCATTTGGAAAAATGCTGCACTCGCAGAGCTCAGGCGGTGTTGTATTTCGGTGTTGATGTTGACTTTGGTGGATGCTAATGGGTATCAGTGACTCACCCAACTGCAAACGTCAAGATTCCATAACACTGAGCCATGACAATCAAAGCAGTGCCAAAGTACATCCATTCTACAATGGAGATGCACTCTTGGAGATGACACTCAAATCTAAATCATAGAATCCTAGAATCAAAGAGTTGGAAGAGACCTCATGGGCCATCCAGTCCAACCCCATTCTGCCAAGAAGCAGGAATATTGCATTCAAATCACCCCTGACAGATGGCCATCCAGCCTCTGCTTAAAAGCTTCCAAAGAAGGAGCCTCCACCACACTCCGGGGCAGAGAGTTCCACTGCTGAACGGCTCTCACAGTCAGGAAGTTCTTCCTAATGTTCAGATGGAATCTCCTCTCTTGTAGTTTGAAGCCATTGTTCCGCGTCCTAGTCTCCAAGGAAGCAGAAAACAAGCTTGCTCCCTCCTCCCTGTGGCTTCCTCTCACATATTTATACATGGCTATCATATCTCCTCTCAGCCTTCTCTTCTTCAGGCTAAACATGCCCAGTTCCCTAAGCCGCTCCTCATAGGGCTTGCTCTCCAGACCCTTGATCATTGATCATTTCCCATTTCCCATACATTCCCAAAGAATGTAATTAACTGATGTTTCATGTGTACTTTATGGCATGAAGACCATTCCATAGCATTGAGCCATGGAAGTACCAAATTGCATTAATCCCAAATGGCCACTTTGAGTTTTGAATTCCCAGATATAGGGTTGCTCAACCAGTATTGAGGATCCATCAGACAGCAAATCCTAACTCTGCACTTTCCTTCCTGCAGCAAATTCGACCTCTACACCAAATGTGAAGACCTGCCTGACCCTCAGTCTCTCAAGCCTTACTACCAGAGCCTCATAGACAAATACTGTCCAGGTCAGCTATGCTGGTGAAGGAACTGGTTCCGCTTGCCAATCCCCCGTTTGACCCAGTTTAACTTGGACTGGAAATGAACTGATCCTTTTGGGACTTAACTTTGGTGCAATCCAGATGGGAGGGCTGAGAAAGGTCTACAAAGTTAAGTGTGTCTCAATTCTAATAAATATTCATTGTCACGCAAGTGGAATGTAAAGGCTTTATTTAGAAAAAAATTATAGATAACTCTCTTGTTCTTTTTCTGCGGAGAAGCGCAGCTCTGCTCAGCTCAAGGGGCGAAGCGGAGGGGTCCCTTGCCCCCTCCTCAATGGACACAGCACACATGATTGCAATGGCTCCCCCAAAACACACACACCCACACCCCTCTTCCCCCCTCTCTCTCTCTCGGGCGCACTGAGGCACAAATGGGGGGCAAGGCAAGGGCAAGGGGACCGACAGAGGGGAGAGGGAGGGAGGGTTTGGTTGGGCTGGAGGGTTTGGATACAGGGTTCTTTGGGGGAACAGGAAGACCACAAGAGCACCACCCCACAAAAACACTGCCCTCCTCAGCCCTAAAATGGGGAGAGGGTTTGGATGCAAAAGGAGGAAAGGGAAAGGGAAAGGAGGGGAAAAGGAAGGAAAGGGGAAGGGAAGAGGAAGGAAAGGAAAGGAAAGGAGGGAAGGGAAGGAAGGGGAAGGAAAGGGAAAAGGGAAGGGAGGAGAAGAAAGGGATGCAAAGCGGAAAGGGAAAGGAAATGGAAAGGAAAGGAGGAAAAAGGAAAATGAGGGAAAGGAGGAAAGGGAAAGGAAGGGAAGAGAAGAAAAAAGGGAAAGGGAAGGGGAAAGGAAGGAAAGGAAAGGGAAGGGAAAGGAAAGGAAGGGAAAAAGGAAAGGAAGGGAAGGGAGGAAAGGAAGGGAAAGGGAAGGGAAAGAATAGGAAGGAAGGGAAGGAAAGGGAAAAGGGAAGGATATGGAAGGAAAGGGAAGGGAAGGAGGAAAGGAAAGGGATGAAAGGGGAAAGGGAAAGGGAGGAAAGGAAGGGAAAGGAGGAAAGAAAGTGCAGGAAAGGGTTAGGAAAGGGAAAGGAAGAGAAAAAAAAGGGAGGGAAGGGGAAAGGGAAGGAAAAGAAGGAAAGTGAAGGAAAAGGAAAGGAAGGGAAAAGGGAAGGGAAAGGAGGGGAAGGGAAAGGGAAGAGAAAGGGAGGGGGAAAGGAAAGGGGAATGGGAAGGGAAAGGGGAAGGAAAGAGAAAAGGGAAGGCAAGAAGGGAAGGGAAGGGAAAGGAACTCTTTGGGGTTATACTTTCCCTACAAATAATATCTGCAGAAAAAAACCCTTTACTCCCTGCTACCGGCAAATCTGCCGGACGTTTGGGGTGGGGAAGTTTTCCTAATGGGAAGAAAAGGTTGTAAGGGGGAGGAGGCTTGAAATGGCAATTGAGGTTCTATCCCCAAAAGCGTGTCTTGGTTAAGGGCCACATGCGGATCCCGAAGACCCTAAAAGGTTAAAATTGGCTTGTTTCCCAGCCAAAAATAGGCCCCACTCAAACCGTCATGATACATATTGACATGAAAAAAAAAATCTAAGCCAAGAGTGGAATCGCAGTGTCCACTTTTGGTGGAGTCAGGGGTCAAATTGCAGCCACGAGGAGGAAGGAGGCATTTGGGGGTGGCAATGCCCCAGGGTCTGTGTCTGGCCCCCTTTCTAGGTGCCCCCTTTGTCCTATGGCCACATAGGGATCCTTGGCATGGAGGGGTCTCGGGTGGCCACCGTCCTCTAGGGAGGGGGGTCCCACTCTGGGATACCAGGTGAGGAAGGGTCTGAGAGGAAGGGACAGGGGTGGAATGGGGGATACAGTCCATTAAGTAAGGTCCCGACCCCCCCAAAAGCCTTGTTTATATGAAGCAGACCCCCTCGAATTGGAATGGAGAAGAAAAGGGAGAAAAAAAAGCGGGAAAAGAGGAAGAAGAGAGAAAGGTGAAAAAAAGAAAGAGAGGAAGTTTGGATAAAAAGAAAGAGGAGAGAAAGAAAGGTAAGGGGGAAGAGGAGTGAAGGAGAAAGATAAGGATGGAGGAAGAAAAGTAAGGAGAGAGAAAGAAAGAAAGGGGGAAAGAATAGAAAGGTGAAAGAGGATAGAAAGAGGAGAAAAGGTGGAGAAAGAGAAGAAAGGGAAGAGAAAGGGTAGAAAAGGGAGAGAAAGTGGAAAAGAGAGAAGGGAAAAGAGAAGAGAAAGAATGGAAGGACAAAGAAAGAGAAGAAGGGAGAGAAATAGAGAAATCAAGGGGGAAAAGAGGAAGGAGAAGGGAAAAGGAGACAAAGAAAGGAAAGGGGAAGAAGAAGAAGAGAAAGGGGGGAAGGGGAGCAAAAGAGAAGAGAAAGAGAAGAAAAGGGGAAATGGGAAGGAGAGAGAAAGGTGAGGAAAAGAGGAAGGGCAAAGAAACGGGGAAAGGAGAGTGAAAGAAGGGAGAGAGAAAAAGGAGAGAAAGAAAGGGGATAGAGGAAGGAGAAAGGGAGAAAAGGAGAGAAAAAGAGGAAGAATAGAAAAGCAACAAAGGGGGAAAAACAAAGAAGGGGAAAAGAGGAGAGAAAGGGGAGAAAAGAAGAAGAGTGGAGAAAGAAAGGGGGAAAGGAGCAGGAAAGAAAAGAGAGAAAGAGGAAAGAAAGGAAGGGGGGAGGAAGGAGAGAAAGGGGGAAAGGAGGAAAAGAGAAGAGAAAGAAAGGGAGAGAAGAAAAGAAAGGTGGAAAATGGGAAGAGAAAGGGAAGAGGAGAGAAAGACAGAAAGAGGGAAGAGAGGAGAAAGAAAGGGGAAAGGAGAGGAAAGAAAAGAGAAAAAGAGGAAAGAGGAGAGAAGGGGGGGAAGGAGGAAAATAAGAGAAAGAAAAGGAAGGGGAGAGAAAGAAAGGTGGAAAATGGGAAGGAGAAAGGTGAATGAGGAGAGAAAGGGGAGAAAAGAGGAAGAGAGGAGAAAGAAAGGGGGAAAGGAGTAGGAAAGAGAAAGAGAAAGAGGGAAGGAGAGGAAGAAAGGGAAATGAGCAGAAGGGGAGAGAAAGGGGGAAAAGGAGAGAAAGTGAGGAAGGATGGAGAAAGAAAGCGGGGAAAGAGAGGCTATGAAGACCAAGAGGAAATGGGGGAGAAAGGGAAGGAAGAAGTGGGGGAGCGCAATGAATGGAGGGGGAAAGAGGAATGGAGAAAGTGAGGCGACATCAAGGGGGCCCGGAGCAAGGCCCCCACCCCCTTCCCCAAGACCAGCCACGGAACGGGAGGGGCGGCCTCCCACCCGCGATAAAAAGAGGCCCTGCTCCGAGGGGAGACGTAGTTTTGGTGGCTTGAGTTCCAGTGGAAGATGCGGATGGCGAGGCGGCGGCTACTTCTTCTTCCTGACGCTCCTCAGCCCGTCTGTGGGGGGCTCAGCTGCGGAAGGGGGACCCCGGGACCTTTCGGGGGTCAGGCCCGCCTCCCTCTTCCTCACCTGTCCGTTCTTCTCGTTGCCGGCGTGGTCCCCTCCTCCGCCGGCGTCCACAGCTGGTGGCTCTGCCCTCCGGGTGCCCTTGGGCTTCCCTGTGGCCGGGGGCACCCCTCCTCTTCCGGATAGGAACCACCCCACCATCGCCCGCAGGACAGAAATGGTGGCCGCGGTGAGGTACAGGGACCAGATGACCGCAGGGCCGGTGTGCGGGTGGACAAAGTCCCTGGCCCACTGGAGGGCCGTCGGCAGGAAGGAAGACGAGGCGCGCTTCAGGGGTCCCTTGTCCTAAAAAGGAAGACAAGCGTGAAGAGGAACAGCTAAATGTCAGAAGGCATGTGGGAAGGGCCTTCTGTACTGTGGCCCCTTGGATGACTCAAAAGTAAGACCAGCACTGCCAGGAATGAAAGCTACCAAAAGGATATCATAGAATCCTAGAATCAAAGAGTTAGACCTCCTGGGCCATCCAGTCCAACCCCATTCTGCCAAGAAGCAGGAATATTGCATTCAAAGCACCCCTGACAGATGGCCATCCAGCCTCTGTTTCAAAGCTTCCAAAGGAGCCTCATATCGTCTTCATACTATGCAGGCAGGGGCAAACTTGGGCCCTCCAGGTGTTTTGGACCAACTCTGACCATTCTTAACATATTTTTGTTCTTTCCCAAAGAATCAGGAACTCACAACCTCTGAGGATGCTTGCCATAGATGCAGGCGAAACGTCAGGAGAGAATGCCTCTAGAACATGGCCATATAGCCCGAAAAAACCTACAACAACCCAGTGATTCCGACCATGAAAGCCTTCAACAAGACATTGAATCAGGAAAGCTTTTCTTTCTCTGGGTTGTTGTAGGTTTTTTCAAGTCAAGGGAAAACCTTTACCTTTACTAACTTTTTTGCAGGTGGTTAGTCCAGAGGAATTAACTCTACTATCAGATAATTGTTATTTTCTGCTAATTAGGAAATGCCAGGTAATTTCCAAATCCTGACGTTATCCACCCAATCAGCAATGTAAAAGTCAGTCTGTCCATCAATCTATGGGCCCATCTATCTGTCATCCATCCAGGTAAGTAAGGGTTTCAATATATGTATGTACACAAAATAAAAAGCTCTATTTTTTATCTCCTGAGTCTTTGGGACTTGTTGGCTGCTAATTTCCTTCCTTGTTTTGCTCCATCCAATCTGGTCAGAGCTGTGGCACTACAAGAGCTGCCATGTCACTTAGAGAAGCAGGAGAAGAAGTGTGAGAAGTCTGGTGGCAGATTCACTGCATCCCTGGAAGGGCTCCTGCTTCCCCAACCCCACCCCCCTCCTTCAGGTAGACCACTTCCTCACCTTGAGCCCATGCTGGGCTAACAGGGCCTCCAGGTTGGGGTCCCCCAGGAAGACTGTGGGGTAGAACTCCTCAATCCGCTGCCGCCTCCACCACTGACGAGGAAGAGACCTGCGGGGAATTGCAAAAGCAAAACACCCATCCTTCCACATTCTAATCACTCTTGCACAGCCCTTAATGCCACATCAGTGTGGAAACATAGATAGAATCATGGAGTTGGAATACACCACATGAGCCATCTACTCCAACCCCATTCTGCCATGCCGAAAAAGCACAATCAAAGCTCCCCAGACAGATGGACATCCAGCCTCTGTTTAGAAGTTTCCAAGAATGGAGCCTCCACCAGACTCCGAGGCAGAAGAGTCCCACTTTTGAACAGGTCGTATGATCAGGAAGTTCTTCCTAATGTTCAAGTGGAATCTCCTTTCCTGCCATTTGAACCCATGGCTCCCCAGAGACATTAGCGTTTTTAAATCATTTTATGTACATGCAGCCCGCCCTTTGTCTGTCTGTCATTATGCTTAATTCCTATGTTTTGTTTATATTGTTTTATATGCTTTGATGTTTTATATTTTACTGCTATGTTGTTTATTTTATTGTAATTTGTATTGTTATATTGTAATTCTTGTTTGGGCTTGGCCCCATGCAAGCCGCTCTGAGTCCCCTTTGGGGAGATGGTGGCGGAGTAAAAATAAAGATTATTATTATTATTATTATTATTATTATTATTATTATTATTATTATTACTATTATTAGGCAAGCCCCCACCCTGGCAGTCTTTAGGAGCCTGAAAACCTGGCTGTTCCAGTGTGCCTTCAATGATTGAATGCAAAATAATCCCTGACCAAACTCTGCATAAAAATGCACTCAGAAACATTTTATTTTCCGGTTCTGCAATTCAATCCTACCTCATCCCCCGGATTCTCTGTCCTGATACATTATATTGCCCTATTTCCCAGTGTTTTTAAATTTTTTAATCTTTGCAATTGACCCTACCCACTGTGATTATTTCCAGTGTTTAATGTTTTGATGTTATATTGTTGTGTTGTTTATTTATATCGGTTCTGTATCTTATGTTATGTTATTTTCTTATTTTTTGTTGTGTTTTTGTGTTATATTGTTTTACTGTATTGATAGGTAAGCCTCATGTAAGCCGCCTTGAGTCCCCTTGGGGAGATGGTGGCAGGGTATAAATAATAATAATAATAATAATAATAATAATAATAATAATAATAATGTATTGTCGAAGGCTTTCATGGCCAGAATCACTCAGTTCTTGTGGGATTTTCAGGCTATATGGCCATGTTCTAGAGGCATTTCTCCTGACGTTTCGCCTGCATCTATGGCAAGCATCCTCAGAGGTTACCTCTGAGGAAGCTTGCCATAGATGCAGGCGAAACGTCAGGAGAAATGCCTCTAGAACATGGCCATATAGCCCGAAAAAACCCACAAGAACTGAATAATAATAATAATAATAATAATAATAATAATGGCTCTGAATCCTCATTTTAAGGTCAGCAGAAGACAAGCTTGCTCCCTCCTCCTTATGACACCCTTTCACATATTTATACATGGCTCTTGTCTCCTCTTAGCATTCTCCTGCAGGTTAAACATGCCCAGTTCTTTAAGACGCTCCTCATAGGGATCCTTCCTCCCACCCATGTTAATCCCACAAACAAACATTATATATATATATATATATATATATATATATATATATATATATAGAATCAAAGAGTTGGAAGAGACCTCATGGGCCATCCAGTCCAACCCCATTCTGCCAAGAACAGGAATATTGCATTCAAATCACCCCTGACAGATGGCCATCCAGCCTCTGTTTAAAAGCTTCCAAAGAAGGAGCCTCCACCACACTCCGGGGCAGAGAGTTCCACTGCTGAACGGCTCTCACAGTCAGGAAGTTCTTCCTCATGTTCAGGTGGAATCTCCTCTCTTGTAGTTTGAAGCCATTGCTCTATTGCGTCCTAGTCTCCAAGGAAGCAGAAAACAAGCTTGCTCCCTCCTCCCTGTGGCTTCCTCTCACATATTTATACATGGCTATCATATCTCCTCTCAGCCTTCTCTTCTTCAGGTTAAACATGCCCAGTTCTTAAGCCGCTCCTCATAGGGCTTGTTCTCCAGACCCTTGATCATTTTAGTCGCCCTCCTCTGGACACATTCCAGCTTGTCAATATCTCTCTTCAATTGTGGTGCCCAGAATTGGACACAATATTCCAGGTGTGGTCTAACCAGAGCAGAATAGAGCATGGGGAGCAGGACTTCCCTAGATCTAGACACTATGCTCCTCTTGATGCAGGCCAACATCCCATTGACCTTTTTTGCCCCACTTGACACTCCTGGCTCATGTTTAACTTGCTGTCCACGAGGACTCCCAAGTTCTTTTCTATACGTACTGCTCTCAAGCCAGGCATCATCGTCCCCCATTCTGTATCTTTGCATTTCGTTTTTCCTGCCAAAGTGGAGTATCTTGCATTTGTCCCTGTTGAACTTCATTTTGTTAGTTTTGGCCCATCATCTGTCTAATCTGTCAAGATCCCTTTGAGTTCTGCTGCTGTCCTCTGGAGTCTTGGCTCTCCCTCCCAATTTGGTGTCGTCTGCAAACTTGATGATCCTGCCTTCTAGCCCAGAATGAAGATCCTGTCCAGGACCGGGCCCAGGACCGAACCCTGCTTGTGGCACTCCGCTCGTCACTTCTTTCCAGGATGAAGAGGAGGCATTGGTGAGCACCCTCTGGGTTCGTCCAATTAACCAGTTACAGATCCATCTCATATAGATTGCTATTAATATTATTTGTTCGGTTCTACTTATTTGTTTGTTTTTAATCCAATCTGCTGATGGTAATAAATTTATTTAAAAAAGGAAACTGGGCACGCCGATCCCGCAAATATGGATGCCTCTGAGCAGCTTTGCAGGCAAACAGGAAACCAACCAGGAGTTGATGGGAGGCTTGGACTCCTTTCCTGAATGACTTCCCCTCAGTTCTGGCGGCCCTGCTGCCCACCCCTTACTCACCCGTCCTCTGCGCCCTCCGTGAACCAGTACTTGTACAGCTGGGCCCGGATGTAGGAAGGCGGGTTGGAGCTGAAGGGGTACTTGGAGCTGTCTACCTGCACCAGGTGGATCACTGCAGCGGAAGGAAGAAGGCAGCGCCATCAACACAGCATCTAAATGCCACACGGCCACCAAAAGCAGCAAACCCAGCTCCTGCCTCCCTCAATAACCAAACATCATAGAGTCCACGCATTTTGGACAGCAGTCAAGGGAGCAATATAAAGAATTTTACAACAGAATATACCATTTTTACCAGAAATATTTTGCTGGGACTGACAAATGATGCCGTCAATAAGAAAAAAACATTGTAGGAGCTTTCATGGCTGGAATCACTGGGTTGTTGTGAGTTTTCCGGGCTGTATGGCCAGGTTCCAGAAGCAACAACAACCACCCAGAAAAAACATTGTTTTCTTTCAAAATGCTATAACATTTGTTTGACTAGTTTATGCTACATACTAGAAAGAAAATATTATTCCATCTGTAAACAAACAGATAACCAAACTGCTAAACTTTGTAGAATTTGATAAACTAACTTGTCTCCTTAGAAATGAACCATACAATACGTTACAGCAGTGGTTCTCAACCTGGGGGGTCGCGACCCCCAGGGGGGTCGCCTGGCCATTTCAGAGGGGTCGCGAGGCCGCCTCCGTTGGCCCCGCCCCAAGGGCGCGGGACAGGTGAGGGCTCCTTCGCGCCAAGCCTGCCTCACCTGCCGCGCACTCTCACCATCCAGCAAGGGCACGAGGCAGGTGAGGGGTCAAAGCTGAATTGGTCGAAGGTACTGCAAATACGATCATCTGTTGTCCATACTCCCCCAAACATATTGTTTTTGTGATTAATCATTATGCATTAATTAGGTTCAATTTATGACAATGAAATTTATGACATCCTGCATATCGAATATTTACGTGACAATTCATAGCAGTAGCAAAATTACAGTTATGAAATAGCAACAAAAATAATTTTATGGTCGGGGGTCACCACAACACGAGGAACTGTATTTAGGGGTCACGGCATTAGAGAGGTTAAGAACCACTGCGTTACAGGGTGACAAAGATAAGGACACACAGACTAAGAGATCGCTTTTATCTTAGGCCCCTTCCACACGGCTGTATAAAATCCACATTGAACTGGATTATATGACAGTTTAGATAATCCAGTTCAAAGCAGACATTGTGGATTATCTGTCTTGATATTCTGGGTTATATGGCTGTGTGGAAGGCCCTCTGTTATATTCTATTCAATGTTTTCAAAATAATTGGAAACATTTAGCAGAATATATAGGCAGAATATTTAAAAATACATGGTCACACAGAAGAGCAAGATGATGACAAATGTTGTACAATTAGGCCACCTTTGAATACTTTATGTAAATATTGTATGTGTATGGACATGTAGAATCATAGAATCCTAGAATCAAAGAGTTGGAAGAGACCTCCTGGGCCATCATCCAGTCCAACCCCATTCTGCCAAGAAGCAGGAATATTGCATTCAAATCACCCCTGACAGATGGCCATCCAGCCTCTGCTTAAAAGCTTCCAAAGAAGGAGCCTCCACCACACTCCGGGGCAGAGAGTTCCACTGCTGAACGGCTCTCACAGTCAGGAAGTTCTTCCTAATGTTCAGATGGAATCTCCTCTCTTGAAGTTTGAAGCCATTGTTCTGCGTCCTAGTCTCCAAGGAAGCAGAAAACAAGCTTGCTCCCTCCTCCCTATACACACACACACACACACACACACACTTCTTGTTAAGAGCTTTGATAGGACAAACCGTTGTAAGACTCTATCCTGATGCAGGGCCAGGAAGTTTTCTTCAAAATAAGATACATATGTTTTACTACTATTAGAAAGTGTAAAATTACTACTGATAATAATAATAATAATAATAAGCTTTATTTGTACCCCGCTCCATCTCCCTGATGGGGACTCGGTGCGGCTTACATGAGGCCAAGCCCAAAACAACAATTACATGAAATAAAACAAAACCAAAAACACAAATAATAAACAATAATAGCACAATTACATAAAACAAAAGACAACATAGCAATATAAAATGACAATAAACATAATCACGGTAACATGGGCGAGCTACATGTAATGGATAAAAGAAAATTGGGAAGAAACAGATTAAAAATTCAGGCGAGATAAACACGAGATAAACAAGGACAGGTTATTTGTGGAGGAGAGCTCGTTTTAGTGGAGGTCGTGGAGCAAAACTTTCCTATGGGGGGAATGCACTCCAATAACTAAACCCGTTAAACTAAACACTAGTATGAGGATGTAGATCTACTCATCAAATGCGCAGCGGAAGAGCCAGGTTTTGAGGTTCTTTTTAAAGGTTTCTAGGGTAGGGGCTTTAATGGGTGGCTTTATATACCAATAGTTATGTTATGATGTGAACACTTTGGAAATAATAATAACAACAACAACAGCAACAACGAGACAAAACAAGAATCAAAGAGGTAGAAGAGACTCTGAGGGCCATCCAGTCCAAACCTTTTCTGCCAAAGCCCTCCTGACAGATGGTTATCCAGTCTCTGCTTAAAAAAAAACCCCAGAGAAGCAGAGTCTACTGAACTCCCAGGCAACATATTCCATTGTTTAGTTCTTGCTGTCACAAAGTGGAATCTCTTTCCCAGTGGTTTAAAACCCTGGCTCTATTATGTCCGAGGGCCTTTCCAGACAGGTCTTATATCCCAGGATCTGATCCTAGGTTTTCTGCTTTAATCCGGATTATATGAGTCTGCACTGCCAGATAATTTGGGGTAAACAGAAAACCTGGGATCAGATCCTGGGATATAAGGCCTGCCTGGAAGGGCCCCGAGTTTCGAGAGCTGCAGGAAACAAGCTTTCCACCTTTCCAATGGAATATCCCTTCAAATATTGAGACATGGTTCTCATGTCTCCTCTCAAACTTCTTCTGTCAAAGCTAAACAGATCTAGCTCCTCAAACCACTCCTCAGAGGGATTCATAGTTTCCAGGACTTTGACCACTTTGGTCTCGGGACACTTTCCTTCTTGTCCATCTCCTTTTTGAATTGCTTTGCCCAAAACCGGACACAGGGCTCTGACTCCAGGTGAGAAAGCCTGGCCAAAGCAGAAGAGAGTGGGCTTAGGACTTCCCTTCATCGACACTCCTTTGGATGCAGCCTTGGTGTAGCATTGCCCTTTATGGTTCTTGTCTCACGTTCCGCTTGTGGCCTACTCACCTTCCTCCTTTCCTTGCAGGAGCCGGTAGACGAAGCTGGTGAACCAGGGGCTGTGGGTGTGGTGTCCCAGGGCGGCAAACCACATCTGCCAGTCCAGGCGGGGCTGGTGCGGGGCCACAGTGGGGGGTGGCCCACTGACGTTGCCTGGCTTGTACATGAACTCAATCTCCTGTATGGGAGGAAAATGTCAGAATGTAATGTTATAGGGTGGAAATTGCTTATAGTTTAAACTGTATGGTTTCAGAAATGTATGCGTTAAAACACAGAGATGCAGTATTGGTAGAGTGTCACCTTTGGAGGTTCCTGGGCTGGCCGGATGAAGGAGTGCTAAGAGAGGAATGTGCTTCTTGCAGTGTGCCGAGATGTGTGCGGACAGCATTGCAGGTTGTCTTGTGTATTGTGTAAATAAAGATAAGTGTCGCTTTTCTATGGAAGCTGAGTTAAGGAGTCTTAACTAGTTTGTGCCTTCAAGTAGAAACTTGGAAGGTCGAAGCACTTGAGATAAGGAAGGTGGTTTATGTCAGTTTCCAACAGAAAAGCACACTTTGTGCATCTTGCTGGCCACAAGAAACAACATATTTCCAATATGGCCATAGGGCAGCCATGGGCAACCTTTGGCTCTCCTCAAAGGTGTTTTGGACTTCAAGTCCTGCAATTCCTAACAACCACTAGGCTGTTAGGAATTGCGGGACTTGAAGTTCAAAACACCTGAAGGCATTGCTGAAGGAGAGCCAAAGTTTGCCCATATCATGAACATTTAATATGCAGATTTGATAAATGTGGATTTGATATGTGGGAATGAATGGAGCTGATAATTTGAGACACCAGAAAAGGATTGGTAAATAATATGAAAGCAGATCGGCACAACCTGAGGACCACAACCAGATACAATGAAGGCATCTGCCCTGGGGTTTTGCTACTCTGCTGCTCACCCACAGTTTAAGACTAGCTATTTTTATGTTTTATGAGGGTTTGTTGTTGTCTATTCGTTCAGTCACTTGCGACTCTTCATGACCTCCTGAACCAGCCCGGGCCAGAGCTCCCTGTCGGGTCGCCACCCCCAGCTCCTTCAGTTAAGCCAGTCCCTTCAAATAGACCACCCACCCACCTTGTCCTTGGTCGGCCCCTCTTCCTTCTTCCTTCCATTTTCCCCAGCATCATTCCCTTCTCTAGGCTTGGCTGTCTCATGATGTGGCCAAAGGACTTCCACTTTGTCTCTCGTCTCCTTCCCTCCAGTGAGCAGCCGGGCTTTATTTCCTGGAGGATGGACTGGTTGGATCTTCTCGCAGTCCAAGGCACTCTCAGCACTTTCCTCCAACACCACAGCTCAAAAGCATCTATCTTCCTCCACTCAGCCTTCCCTAAGGTCCAGCTCCCACATCCGTAGGTTGCTACGGGGAATACCATTGCATATCTAAGGTTGTTAATGTTTATGAGGGTGGAGGTTAATAAAACCCTTCCTAGTTTGTCAGTATGTTGTTTGCCACTTTGCCTGAGGAAAGGGAGCCATTTTAGATCACAGACCACCAGGGTATCTTGGAAGCAAGACTTGTCTGCTGTTGGTCTCAGTGAGATCCAGGCTTGGGCAAGCCATTTCAAGTCAATTTTTTAATCAACCAATAATTAGTTAACTAGTAACGAATTAACGCCTTGGGCATCTCAGAGGCCCCTGTACCAGAGACAGAGACCAAGGAAAACTGTTATCTTAGAAATATCCACATTTGGCAGCTTCAGGAGCAACCAGTTACTTTCCAAATTTTAAATATGGACTTTGTTGTAGGGAACAGGGCCTGAGCTCAAGTGGCAGTTGTGCTCCCACAGAAGTTGAGGAAGCAAGAAGCCATTTTGTTCCCTCCTGCTTCAAGTAAGCCTTGTCTTAGAGTGCACTAGGAATCTGAGTGAGTGTTTAAGATTAGCTGCTGTGAGTGTTTGCTTTGTTTGAGAGGCGGGGCGAGGCTAAATTATTTTAGCCAGCAGTGATTGACAGTTGCAGGGCAGCAATTAGTGACCTATTGTTCTAGGAGTGAGTCATTGCTGCTTCCTGTTTAACTGACTAAAATGATCTAGGGTCTGGAGAACAAGCCCTATGAGGAGCGGCTTAAGGAGCTGGGCATGTTTAGCCTGAAGAAGAGAAGGCTGACTGGGGATATGATAGCCATGTATAAATATGTAAGAGGAAGTCACAGGGAGGAGGGAGCAAGCTTGTTCTCTGCTTCCCTGGAGACTAGGACGCAATGGAACAATAGCTTCAAACTACAGGAAAGGAGATTCCATCTGAACATGAGGAAGAACTTCCTGACTGTGAGAGCTATTCAGCAGTGGAACTCTCTGCCCCAGAGTGTGGTGGAAAGCTTTTAAACAGAGGCTGGATGGCCATCTGTCAGGGGTGCTTTGAATGCAATATTCCTGCTTCTTGGCAGAAAGGGGTTGGACTGGATGGCCCAGGAGGTTTCTTCCAACTCTAGGATTCTATGAAGTTAGTGCCTGGGTGGAGATAGGCCCAAGACCAGTCAATAAATCGTTACTATTTCATGAAAGCAACAGCGTGGACATTGGTTCTGTGGGGTTCCTTGCTCAAACAGGAATGCAATCTAGCATTCCCCAAGCTGACAGAACGTTAGGACACATTAATGCTAAAGCAGCTTGGGTGTGACAGCACAGCACCCCTGGTAAAACTGATTTAAAAATAGAGAAACAAAAGGAAGGCCAGGCCTTGCAAGGAGAGTAAAACATGCAGGAATTGTGCATCAGCTCTGCTTTGCAAATGGACCCAATGCCTCCCCTCTGAGATGTTCCTCACCGTCCAGGATTTCTTGTCGTAGCTGCCTTCCACCACGACCTCTGGCCGCCCTCCGACCCCCGTCATGCGCCGGAAGAGGCCGTAGGAGTTGGCCAGCTGGTACCGGTCCACAGCACTGAAGAGCTGGTGCACGCTGGGCCAGAGCTTCCCGTTGGATTCATACTCGATGTAGGTGAAGGGCACCTGGAAGGAGACAACATGGGGAAGGTCAGCATCTTCTGCAAAGAACTGGCAATGGCACGGTAGGGAAAAGCCTGGCTCAAATCCCCACTAAAACATTAATAAAAACTGTGCCAGCTATGGCTCATATCAAAACTGTGCATTGAATTTTTATTGCCTATGCATGACACCTGACATTTCTCCCTTTTGTAACCCTTTTTGTGGATCTTGTCCCCGCTCTCTCAAGGACCTTTCTACTTCTCTGTGCCTGCACACTCACCAGGCTGATAGTGAACATCCCCAAAGCCGCGGTGGCAAAGATGGCCCACTGGCAGGTTGCCCACAGTTTCCAGAAGAAGCCTCGTACGCAGGCACTCCTGCAGAGAGGAAGGGAAGAAGGAAATGAAACAGACATGAAACACAATTGTCTGTTTCCAAAAGGACATCACTTTCTCACCATGAAACCAGCCCAAGTGACACAGGATCAAACTAGGAAACAAACAAGGACATCTAATCACTTCTCAACAAAAGTTTGCTCTAGACACTGTCAGGCCATTATATGCTAATCAAGGTTGTCAGTTGAAACATTCCCACCTAGCTCCAGCAGAAAAGAGTCCTTTGTCTTACCCTGGTTACTCCACAGATATATAAGCCCTTTTTCCTAGTTCCAACAGACCTCACAACCTCTGAGGATGCTTGCCATAGATGCAGGTGAAACATCAGGAGAAAATGCCTCTAGACCCATGATGGTGAACCTGACATGCGTGTCAGCACTGACACGCATGGCTATTTTTGATGACACGCGGCCACATACAGAGAAGCACATCTTATAAGAGCCAATCTAATTCCATCCTTAAATTTGTAAAAGGCTCTACATCTGTCAGGGGTGCTTTGAATGCAATTTGAATGCAATATTCCTGCTTCTTGGCAGAATGGGGTTGGACTGGATGGCCCGTGAGGTCTCTTCCAACTCTTTGATTCTATGATTCTCCTGCTTCTTGGCAGAATGGGGTTGGACTGAATGGCCCATGAGGTCTCTTCCAACTCTAGGATTCTACCTCATAATGATCCCTTCTCAAACCAAAGTGTTATAAAGACACATTAAATGTGTATTGTTGAAGGCTTTCATGGCCGGAATCACTGGGTTGTTGTAGTTTTTTGGGGGGTGTATAGCCATGTTCTAGAAGCATTCTCTCCTGAGGTTTTGCCTGCATCTATGGCAAGCATCCTCACAACCTCTGAGGATGCTTGCCACAGTTGCAGGCGAAACGTCAGGAGAGAATGCTTCTAGAACATGGCCATACACCCCAAACAAACTACAACCCCCACATTAAATAATTTTAAGAAAAAGAAGGGGAAAGTGACCTTTTAATGCAGGCAAGAAGCAAAAGCACCTTGAGCAACATAGATCTAGGAAACAGAGGTGAAAGGAAGACCATGCACAATGTTCCCTTGCCCCACCAAAAGCTCTCTACACACGTGTTGTTGCTTCTTCACTTCCAACGGGTTTCCGCTTCTGAGGGCCAACCACAGAATGAGACATGCAAAGCGCAAGATGTGTAGTTGAGGACAATCGTGTGCTGAGACAGAGGTCTTGTAATATTTATTTAACCCACACAAAACAAGCACCTGGGAAGCTGCTCTCTATTCACTCACCTGTATCCCGCTTGGAGAATCTCCCAAACCAGGGAGAGGAGCCCAAAGCCCACCAGGGGAAGAGTCACCATCCGCAACCACTGCATGAACTCGTGGTACGTGAAGGCTGCGGAAATAGGATCAACAAGAAAGAGCAGTGTTTTTTTTTCCTCTCTCTCAATATCTTTTTTCTTTCCTTTTCCTACTTTCTCTTGATATCATTGTTCCACCACTTTACATGTATACATAAAACAATATTTTCTCTTCCCCTACCCCAGATAAAATATTCTGTATATACTCGAGTATAAGCCTAGTTTTTCAGCCCTTTTTTAAGACTGAAAAAGCACTCCTCGGCTTATACTCGAGTCAAAGTTATTTATTATTTTACTTTGTTATTATTTCATTACATTTATTATTTTACTCTATTATTATTATTATTACATTTATCATTTTACTCTATTATTATTTTACTTTATTATTGTTATTTTTTACATTTATTATTTTACTCTATTATTGTTATTATTATATTTCCATTATTTTACTCTATTATTATTATTACATTTATTATTTTACTCTATTTATTATTGTTATTATTACCTTTATTATTTTACTCTATTATTGCTATTATTATATTTCCATTATTTTACTCTATTATTATTATATTTATTATTTTACTCTATTTATTATTAGAAGGTTATGTAAGCACTCTCTGATTCATTTACATTGAAGAAAATCAGAATAATGATTTGATCAGAGTTAAATTAAATTACAGTTTTATGTAAATATTCAAAAACATTTAAACTACGGATGCCTCAATTAATGTGCTTTTATTGGTATCCATTTTTGGCATTTCCTACCCTCGTCTTATCTTCAAGTCAATATACTTTCCCAGTTTTTTATGGTAAAATTAGATGCCTCGGCTTATATTCGAGTATATATGGTATATTTTTTTAAAAAAAGAAAGAGCAGTGTTTGGATTCAACGAAAGCAAGACCTCTTTTCATTGGCTCTTCCCCTTCCGTCAAAATCAATAAAGAGAAAGGAAGCAGACTTACAATACAAGTTGAGCATCTTTTATCTAAAAATTCCAAATATCAGGAATATTTTAAATAGTTTCATGCATGAAATGAAGTGAATGTAAGTTAAGCATCAGAAAGCAAGTCTCAACTGTCCAAGTGGACAATTTTGAACTGTCCACTAGGATATGGGAATTCTGGATATTCAACCTCCATTGCATTTACTTACTTAGGTGACCCCTCATTGTCCAAGGATGATGGCCCTCAAAGCATTGTGTCTAGGTGGAGGGTCCATGGCTGGCTGCTGAGCTCTATTCTTGATCCGCATCTTCTCCGGCAGTGAGGACACCAATTTCCAGGTGGAAGGCGGTCACGGTCAGGGTTGGCTTGATGCACCTTCCTCTTGGCACGTTTCTCCCTTTTGTACCCCATTTGTGTCTCTTTGAATTATGCAGCACTGCTGGTCACAGCTGACCTCCAGTTAGAGCGCTCAAGGACCAGGGCTTCCCAGTTCTCTCGGTGTCCCTGCCACAGTTTTTAAGGTTAGTTTTGAGCCAATCTGTAAATCTTTTTTCCTGTCCAACATTCTTTTTTCAATTCTTGGGTTGAGAGTAGAATAACTGCTTTGGGAGACGGTGATCTTTGGGCATTCGGACAATGTGGCCAGTCTAGCAGAGTTGATGGTGGAGGACCATCGCTTCAATGCTGGTGGTCTTTGCTTCTTCCAGCACGCTGACATTTGTCCGCCTGTCTTCCCAAGAGATTTGCAGGATTTTCCGGAGGCAGCGCTGATGGAATCGTTCTAGGAGTTACATGTGATGTCTATAGACAGTCCACGTTTTGCAGGCATACAGCAGAGTTGGGAGGACAATGGCTTTATACACAAGCATCTTGGTATACCTATGGATGTCCCTGGTCCTCAAACACTCTCTGCTTCATTCGGAAGAATGCTGCACTCGCAGAGCTCAGGCGGTGTTGTATTTCAGTGTCAATGTTGACTTTTGTGGAGAGGTAGCTACCCAGGTAGCGGAAATGGTCCACATTTTCTAATGTTACACCATTAAGCTGTATTTCTGGCATTGCAGATGGGTTGGTTGGTGTCTGCTGGAAGAGCACTTTGGTTTTCCCGATGTTCAATGAAAGGCCAAGCTTCTCATATGCTTCTGTGAAGGTGCTTAGAGTGGCTTGTAGGTCTTCTTCTGAATGCGCACAGACTATGTTATCATCGGCATATTGTATTTCTATAACAGATGTTATTGTGACCTTGGTTTTGGCTTTCAGTCTGCTGAGGTTAAATAGCTTGCCATTGGTCCGATAGATGATTTCCACTCCATTATAAGGCAGCATTTGTATTTTAATGGATTTAATTTGTGAATTTTTAATACTGTTTATGTTTAATTCTGTATTAATGTTTGCACATTTATTTTAAATTGTATGCTAATGCTTTTATGCTAAGTCATTTTGAGCCTCCTTTGGGAGGATTAAAACAGGATATAAACAAATATGATCAAGGTATTTGAAGGCTCCATGCGTCCACGTCAGTTTGTCTGCACCTATATGCAAATACAGGTATTGCAAAATCTGAAAGATTATTCCAGCCCTAAGCAACACTCAACCTGTTTCCATTACTTGATTTACAACGTGGTCATTTCATATTCAGAATTAAAATTAAAAAGCAGCATGCAAGTGGAGATGACGACCAAGACAACATCACAGTCCATTGGGATTTACAGTCAAAATTATTTTCATGCAAGGGCCAGGCTTGTGTGGAAGGTGGCTATTGCAAGGCCTTTGAAGGCTGCATTTCGTTGACTGTCCACTTTGACCAGCAAAAGGGGCCACAGCGCCCCCTGCTGCCCTGCTCCCTCTGTGGCCGTACTTACCGGTCTTGGATTCGAGGGCCTTCTTTTCCCAGTTGACCTCCAGCCCGAAGTAGAGCCTGGTCCAGTAGAGCAGGAGGCCGTAGGCACCCAGTTCGGCCAGAAAGGATAGGATGGACGCCAGGCTCCGGGGCCCGGCTGTAGAAAAAGGAAGGTGACTTGAAGGCACATGGAAACAACACATTGACAGTCATGTTTACATGACGTCAGGAGAGAATGCCTCTAGAACATGGCCATGTAGCCCCCCAAAACCTACAAAAACTCATGTTTACACACTTTAGATCAGGTATGGGGAGACTTGAGCCCTCCTCCAGGTGTTTTGGACCAACTCCCACAATTCCTAACACCCTCAGGCCCTTTCCTTTCCCTCCTCAGCTGCTTAAGCTTAAGTTTGTTCATGCCTCCTTTTTTGCAACACAGTAAATCAGTTTAACAACAAACTGGAGGTTAAAATATCCCCTTAAAAGAGTTGGAATGTGTCCAGAGGAGGGCGACTAAAATGATCAAGGGTCTGGAGAACAAACCCTATGAGGAGCGGCTTAAAGAGCTGGGCATGTTTAGCCTGAAGAAGAGAAGGCTGACAGGAGATATGATAGCCATGTATAAATATGGGAGAGGAAGCCACAGGGAGGAGGAGGGAGCAAGCTTGTTTTCTGCTTCCCTGGAGACTAGGACGCAATGGAACAATGGCTTCAAACTACAAGAGAGAGATTCCATCTGAACATGAGGAAGAACTTCCTGACTGTGAGAGCCGTTCAGCAGTGGAACTCTCTGCCCCGGAGTGTGGTGGAGGCTCCTTCTTTGGAAACTTTTAAACAGAGGCTGGATGGCCATCTGTCAGGGGTGCTTTGAATGCAATATTCCTGCTTCTTGGCAGAATGGGGTTGGACTGGATGGCCCAGGAGGTCTCTTTCAACTCTAGGATTCTATTATTCTATATATAATGTAATGCAACACACACACACACACACACACACACATATCCATGACATTTATATGCCGCCTTTCTCACCCTAAAGGGGACTCAGAGCGGCTTACAAGATATATATATATATACATACAATATATTATTAGGTAAAGGTAGTCCCCTGACATGAAGTCCAGTCATGTCTGACTCTGGGACTCTGGCGCTCATTTCCATTTCTAAGCCGAAGAGCCAGCGTTGTCCGTAGACACCTCCAAGGTCATGTGGCCATAGGCATGACTGCATGGAGCGCCCTTACCTTCCCGCCGGAGCGGTACCTATTGATCTACTCACATTTGCATGTTTTCGAACTGCTAGGTTGGCAGAAGCTAGGGTTGACAGTGGAAGCTCACGCCGCTCCCCGGAATCGAACCTGCGACCTTTCGATCAACAAGCTCAGCAGCTCAGTGCTTTAACCCACTGCGCCACCGGGGGCTCATTACTATGCCATTATATTGTGTGTGTGTGTGTGTGTGTGTGTGTATATATATATATTATTGTGTGTGTGTGTATATGTGTGTGTATATATATGTATGTGTATATATATATATATATGTGTGTGTGTGTGTATGTATATATATATAAAGTTTCATGTAGCTTTCACTGTATAAACAATTATTACAACTCAATCAACACATTGTGCAAATTATAAAAATTATTAACAGTATTTCACGTCTATAAGTATTAAACCTCTCTGGAGGTTTTTCAACAGAGGCTGGATGGTCATCCAGGGTGTTTTGATTGTGCGTTCCTGCCTGGCTGAGGGGGTGGACTACATGCCCTTTAGGGGTCTCTTCCAACCCTAATGAAGTACAGACTACCTGAGAGTTCAATGTCGTCTCCTTCTCTGGGGTTTTTTGAACTGAGGCTGGGTGGCTGTCTGTTGGGAGGGCTTTGACTGTATTTTCCAGCCTGGCAGAAGGGGGTCAGACTGGATGCCCTCTAGGGGATTCCTTCTCTGGTGGCCTCCCACCCATCTCCCAACCCAGCCTGGCCCTACAGAGCTTGCTGGGTCACTCACTGCTGGCCACCTTCTTCCGTCCTTGGCCCAGCCAGAGTCCCAGGTGTTCGTCGTCCAGCAGGGAGAAGCACAGCACGACGGTCAAGAGGTTGAAGAAGTTGTAGTTCCCCGTGAGGGTGATCAGGACTTGCAGGAGAATCTGGAAAAATAGAGCAACATTTTATCACATATCAATATCTGGATGCCACAGGATCACAGCACAGATGTTAGCACACACGTTTCCCCTTTCTTCTCTCTGTTTCATGGCGGATGCAGATGAGCAAGGTGTTGTAGTCCAACCTTTGATCATGCCTGCACCTGATCTCACTGGGGATCCTGGGTCTGCAAGCCAGCGGGAGAGCCAGCAAGAGATTTTAAGCTCTGAACTTGAGCGGTCTCTGTCTGAAGGACACATCCCAGCCAGTTTACCAGCTGTTAGGATTTCTGGGAGTTGAAGGCCAAAAATATCTGGGGACTCCAGGTTGAGAACCACTGTTCTAGAACTTGGCCATACAGCCCGAAAAACCTACAACAACCCAATGATTCTGGCCAAGAAAGCCTTCGACGCCTTCAAATCACTTACCAACCTATAGCAACCCCATGAATCTCAAAGGGTTTTCTTGGAAGTGCGAGACTCCAAGAGTTTCCTTCCTCTAAAATACACCCTCCAGCACCCAGAATTTGATGACAGTCTCCCATTCAAGTCCAAACCAGGACTGAGCCTATTTAACTTCCAAGACATTCATAGAATCATAGAATCAAAGAGTTGGACGAGACCTCCTGGGCCATCCAGTCCAACCCCATTCTGCCAAGAAGCAGGGATATTGCATTCAAATCACCCCTGACAGATGGCCATCCAGCCTCTGTTTAAAAGCTTCCAAAGAAGGAGCCTCCACCACACTCCGGGGCAGAGAGTTCCACTGCTGAACGGCTCTTACAGTCAGGAAGTTCTTCCTCATGTTCAGATGGAAACTCCTCTCTTGTAGTTTGAAGCCATTGTTCCATTGCGTCCTAGTCTCCAAGGAAGCAGAAAACAAGCTTGCTCCCTCCTCCTTGTGGCTTCCTAATTGCCATTAGATACTCTACATTAGATTCACTTACTGCCTCACTCCTTACCAGGATTCCCAAAGCAACACCGAAGAACAAAAACCACAAATCTCTTAAATACAGATGAAAGCGATTTATTCAACTGCTAATTAGAAATTCAGTAGTCTGTGGGGGAAGAGGGGCACGCAGTATGGTTACTTATGGTCCTCTAGCTTGATCAACGACTTAAATCAAGAAAATTTTTCCTAAGATCTACAGAGACACTCGCTGGAATACCCCAGCAAGTGAGAGCCCAAAAGTGGCAGGCTCAAACCCAGAAACTCAATCAATGGCTGATACCAAATGCAAGACTCCCCCGGGCACACAGAAAACTGGGCGACTTGGAAGGCACTGAAAAGACTGTGCTCTGGCACCCTGAGGTGCAGTGCCAACCTCAAGAAATGGAGCTACAAAGTGGAGCCACAACATGCGAGTGTGGAGAAGAGCAAACCACGGACCACCTGCTGCAATGCAGCCTGAGCCCTGCCACATGCACCAGGAAGGACCTTCTTGCAGCAACACCAGAGGCACTCCAAGTGTCCAGATACTGGTCAAAGGACATTTAATCAACCATCAAACTTGCAAACTTTGTGTTTTGTCTGTTTGTTTGTTAAAAAATGCAATGCAACTGTTTGGTCTGCCCCTGACACGATAAATAAATAAATAGCTTGATCTGCAGGAGAAAATTGGGGCAAATACCTGGCTGTAGAAGGCGAAGAGGCGCAGGCGGCGAAGTGGCACAAAGAAGAGGGGCGGAATGGCAATCTCAATCACGTAAGTGGCCACCACACTGAACTTCTGGAACCAGACAGGGAGCTGGTGGAAGAACCAGGCGGCCGGAGTGGGAATGCACTGGGTCTCATAGTGGTAGGTCAAAGCTGGGGGGAAACAGGAAGAGAAAAGTTGCAGAAAATGGAACAGCACCCCAGTATATGTCCCAGTATCAGACAGGCTCTTCAAACAATTTATTTATTTATTTATTTATTTTGCATATTTGTATCCCGTCCTTCTCACCCCTGGAGGGGAGTCAGGGCAGCTTCACAACAGGCATTCATTCAATGCCAAAGAAACACAGATATCTATAACCAATAACAAAAGTAAACTATATGGAAGGATGTCCCTCATGCAGGAAAGAAAGATTTTGCAGTCTAATATACCTTTTCCATGTTTTCATGATGGAACCAATTAGGAAATGACATTTATAACCCACAAACAAAAATTGTATTACATAGTGTTATCCAAAACCATAACTCACAAAATACCCAAAGGACATGAATTTGAGAATCAGCATCCTAAGCCATAGCTCACAATTCTGCACCTGCAAAGCTCCTCCTCCTTGTCTGTTGAGAGCTGCAGTCCAGCCATACCTGGAGGCCCATTCTCTCATTTGAAGCCAATATTGTCCTGGCTTGACCTGCCAGGAGGACTCACCTGTGAGGCCCCACCAGGTGGGGCAGCGGCTGGTCAGCTTGACCACTCCGGAGGCAAACATAAGGCGGAAGAGCAGCCAGCGGACCAGCCAGAAGGTCACTCCATCGTGGGGTCTCCAGGCCGTGGAGCGCCACTTGAGCAGGTGCAGCGGAGCCACCAGTATGCCCAGAAAGCCCACCTCCAGCAGAAGGCTGTCCCTAGAAGGACAGAAGGGAACGGGTATCTATTACTATCAGAAGAGTATGACTACCATTGGAATACTGTTACTGCTGTTGGAATCGTATTATTACTATAGGAACACAATCGCTGAACCTATAACTACTACTGGAACAAGCACAGTTGGAATATTATCAGGGGAACTGTTATTGTTTGAATTGTTACTATTGTTGATGCTATTATTGTTGGAATTATTATCACTGGATTGATATTGCTACTGTTGGAAATACTACCGCTGTTGGAATTATATTTATTAATGTATTATTTACTATATTTGTATACTGCCCTTCTCAGCCCTCAGGCGAGTCAGGGCGGTTTACAGAGGCAACGATTCGATGCCCAAGAACATCATAAAACATTTAACACATTAATACATAGGATAAATAATAATGATAATAATAAAAACTTTATTAATACCATCTCCCCAAGGGACTCGGAGTGGCTTACATGAGGCCAAGCCCAACAACACATCAATAAAAACAAAAAAAAAATAAAATAAACAAAAACAATAAATACAATGCAATTAATATAAATCACATAAAAACAATAACTGATAAACAATTACACACAAGGAGTTAAAAACCTATGGCCGGGCCAAATGTAATAGTTTAAAATTTATTTTAAAAACCAAACAAAAGTAATAAAAACATAAGACATATGCGTCTCCTAATTAAAAACATTATCGTCGTCCAGTTGTTCCAAGTTTCAATGTCTTTTACATTGCATTTTCAAACGCTTGCTCAAACAGCCAGGATTTGACTCTTTTCCAGAATGTTAAGAGGGACGGGGGCAATCTAATGTCCCTAGGAAGGGAGTTCCATAGCCGAGGGACCACCACTGAGAAGGCCCTGTCTCTCGTCTCCGCCAAACATATTTGTGACGCAGGCGGGATTGAGAGCAGGGCCTCCCTGGACGATCTTAAAGTCTTAGCAGGTCTGTAAGGGGAGATGCGTTTGGATAGGTAAGTTGGGCCAGAACCGTTTATATTGATACTATTGGAACTATATTACTACCTTTATTACTACCACTGAAACTATTCCCATTGGAACTATATTACTACTTTTGGAACTATTGCTACTGTTAGGACTATTACGCTATGTAACAAAATTTGAAAAAAAAGTGTTCCTGATTTAGAAGTGTTATTTCCCGTTTGTGTGGCTCTTACTTTGAAAATAGTTGTTCTACTCCAGAAACTTCATTTTTGTGGCTGCCACAAAGTAGGCTGGCTTGGTTGAGAATCTATAAAATATTCATTGAAAAACTAGAGCAAAATGTGCTGCAGATGTCCTGCAATAACTATCAAACTGCAAAAACTTTGTTATTGCAGGACATCCTGCAGCACATTTTGCTCTAGTTTTTCGATTAATATCTTATAGATTCTCAACCAAGCCAACCTAGTTTGTGGCAGCCACAACAATGAAGCTTCTGGAGTAGAACAACTACTTTCAAAGTAAGGGCCCTAACCTTTTCCATGTTTTTATGACAGAACCAATTAGGAAATGATATTTTTAACCCAGGAACACAAATCTAGTTACATAGTGTTATTGCTGGAATTATTATTGTTGGAATGAACATTGATGGAATTACCATTGCTGAAATTATTCTTGTCAATCTTCACATCAGATTGAATTAAAGACCTTTCTATGAATTTAAACTATGAATTTAAACTATGAATTTTACATTAGTACTGCATTGGTATGAATTGGTACTGTATTTTAATATTATAGAATCATAGAATCAAAGAGTTGGAAGAGACCTCATGGGCCATCCAGTCCAACCCCCTGCCAAGAAGCAGGAATATTGCATTCAAATCACCCCTGACAGATGGCCATCCAGCCTCTGCTTAAAAGCTTCCAAAGAAGGAGCCTCCACCACACTCCGGGGCAGAGAGTTCCACTGCTGAACGGCTCTCACAGTCAGGAAGTTCTTCCTAATGTTCAGATGGAATCTCCTCTCTTGTAGTTTGAAGCCGTTGTTCCGCGTCCTAGTCTCCAAGGAAGCAGAAAACAAGCTTGCTCCCTCCTCCTCCCTGTGGCTTCCTCTCACATATTTATACATGGCTATCATATCTCCTCTCAGCCTTCTCTTCTTCAGGCTAAACATGCCCAGTTCCCTAAGCCACTCCTCATAGGGCTTGTTCTCCAGACCCTTGATCATTTTAGTCGCCCTCCTCTGCTTTTTAATATATGTGCTTTTAATAGTTTTACCTATGCATTTTAACAACTGATGCATCTAAACCGCAGAATGAATGCATTAAGTGCCACGGAACCTTAGGAGTTGTAGTTTGGTTAAACTCCAGCATTCTTTGGCAGAGAAGGCTGAAGTCCTTGCCAAACTACAACTCCCAGGATTCCATCTCATGGAGGCATGGCAGGTAAAGGAGTGTCAAACTCCATTAATTTAAAGTGTAGACACACACCACACCTTTTAACAACTACAACAACAACAACAAAACTGTATTTATATTCCACCCTATCTCCCCAGGGGAAATCAGGGCAGATTCCAACATACAAAAAGGCAAGCATTCAATACCTCAGCAAAACAACAAGTACCGACATAATAATCCATAATATATAAAACGTAATTAATCAAACATTATAGTGGCATAATACCTAAACATAAAAAAATCCATCTGTTGGGGGTGCTTTGAGTGATTAGACAAGCCCCCTTGCTGGCAATCTTCAGGAGGAAGCTGAAAACCAGGTTATTCCAATGTGCCTTCAATGATTGAATGTAGGACACTCCCTGTCCAAAATGACCTCAGAAGCACTTTAGTTTATGGCTCGTGCAATTAAATCCTTCCTCATCCCGGTTCCACATCATGACAATCCTACATTACCTATCTCCCACTGTTTTTTTTTTTTTAATAATTTTTATTCTGAAGTGGCCCTGCCCTGTGGAATTTCTTGTGTTTGATTTTATATTGTTGTGTTGTTTATTATATTGGTTTTTGCATTTTATGTTTTGTGTATACTGTGCCTATTGTGTAAGCCGCCTCGGGTCTCCCTGGGGGAGATGGAGCAGGGTATAAATAAAGTTTTATTAATGTATTGTCGAAGGCTTTCATGGCTGGAATCACTAGGTTCTTGTGGGTTTTTTCGGGCTATAGAGCCATGTTCTAGAGGCATTTCTCCTGACGTTTCGCCTGCATCTATGGCAAGCATCCTCTGAGGATGCTTGCCATAGATGCAGGCGAAACGTCAGGAGAAATGCCTCTAGAACATGGCTCTATAGCCCGAAAAAACCCACAAGAACCTAAAGTTTTATTATTATTATTGTTATTATTATTATTATTACTGTCCTGCTTCTTGACAGGGGGTTGGACTGGATGGCCCACGAGGTCTCTTCCAACTTTAGGATTCTATGAAATCCACATTAATTTACAGGAGCCAACTAAAGTTCACAAAGTTAAATGGGTTGATTGTGTTTTGAATTGTTTCATGCTTTAAATATATTTATTTTGACAATCTTGTATCCCACCTTGAGGAGAGGCAGGTAAGAAATAAGCCGTTGTTGTTGTTATTATTATTTGAAACACAACAAGATGAGTCCACAGCAGACACTATGCTGGCTGTTGTGTTGGATCACACGTCAGACACTTCCCAAGTGTCTAGGACTATGTGATGTATTGGCAAAAAAATCGTGCAAATCCCAGTAGGGCAACCTTTTGCAGATGGCAGACTGTTGTTATTATATTATTATCGTTATTATTGTTAGGTATGCAGCCCACAAAGCAAAGATAAATGTATTCTGTCTCGTAAGGCAGAAATGACTTGGAAGCTTGGAACAGCCAAAGGTTACTTACCACTGGAAATACAGGAATACCTGCCCCACCTACAATGGGAGGAAAAGAATAAAGCATATTAGAGATCTCCAGGAAACAAGTCGCAGAACAGAGTTTAAGGCAGTCGTTAGGTCATTAGTTTTAGTAGGATGCAAATCCTATGAGTCTAATTTTTTTCAATCTTAGGATTAATTACTGTATATACTCAAGTATAAGCCTAGTTTTTAATCCTTTTTTGTAGGCTGAAAAAGTCTGCCTCGGCTTATACTTATTATTTTACTCTGTTATTGTTATTATTTTACTTTTTTTATTATTATTATTACTACATTTATCGTTTTACTCTTATTATTACATTTATTATTTTACTTTATTATTGTTTTATTACATTTATTATTTTACTCTATTATTACTGTTATTATTATGTTTCCCTTATTTTACTCTATTATTATTATTATTATTATTATTATTATTATTATTACATTTACGATTTTCCTCTCTTTACTATTATTATTATTATTATTATTATTATTATTATTATTATTATTATTATGAGTCACCTTCAGGCTGATATGGGCAGGATACAAATTTTGTAAATAAATAAAATAAATACCGTATATACTCGAGTATAAGCCGAGGCACCTAATTTTACCACAAAAAACTGAGAAAACGGATTGACTCGAGTATAAGCCGAGGGTGGGAAATGCAGCAGCTACGGGTAAATTGCAAAATAAAAATAAATTACATTAACTGAGGAATCAGTAGGTTATATATTTTTGAATATTTACAAAAATGGTAATTTAAGATAAAACTGTCCAACTCTGATTAAATTATTATTTATCTTCTTCAATGTAAATGTGGTTACGTATCCTTCCAATAATAATAAAGAGAGCAACATAACAAATGTAATAATAACAATAATAAAGAGTAAAATAATGAATGTAGCAATAACAACAATTATACAGTAAAATAATAAATGTATAATAATAGAGTAAAATGATAAATGTAATAATAATAAATAGAAAAAATAATAAATGAAATGAAAATAATAATAATAATAAAAGAGTAAAATAATAAATAACCTTGACACGAGTATAAGCCGAGGGGGACTTCTTAGGCTTATACTCGAGTAAATATAGTAATTGGAAGGATACTTAAGTTTGGTTTAATCAGAGTTGGACGGTCTTATCTTAAATTTCAGTTTTATGTAAGTATTCAAAAACATTTAACCTACTAATGCCTCAATTAATGTAATTTTATTGGTATCTATTTTTATTTTGAAATTTACCTGTAGCTGCTGCATTTCCCACCGTCGGCTTATACTCGAGTCAATCGGTTTTCCCAGGTTTTTTGGTAAAATTGGGTGCCTTGGCTTATATTCGGGTTGGCTTACACTCGAGTATATACGGCAATTCTGCCTTTGAGTCTAGGGCAGTGTTTCTCAACCTGGGGGTCGGGACCCCGGGGGGGGGGGGGCACAAGGAGGCTTCAAAGGGGTTGCCAAAGACTACCAGAAAACACATATTTCTAATGGTCTTAGGAAGCCCTTTGGCAGAGAAGTCTGCAAATCTTTCCACCTGTCCTTCTCTTCCTTTTTGGAAACAGAGGGCAAATCCTCCCACGAAAAGCCCTCCTCCGCTGTGATTGGCCGGCCTCTCAGTCAAGGGGAGGGCTGTTTCTGAGACTCCAAGCGGGGAGGGGAATGCAGGCGTGCTCTCCCCTAAATCACTGTCAATTCTTCCCAAATCCCTCCAGTATTTTCTGTGTGGGAAGCTTGGCCCAATTCCATCATTGGTGGGGTTCAAGGGGCTCTTTGATTGTAGGTGAACTATAAATCTCAGCAACTACAACCCCCAAATGTCAATTAATATTTTCCCCAAACTCCACCAGTGTTCACATTTGAGGAATATTGAGTTTTCGTGCCAAGTTTGGTCCAGATCCATCATTGTTTGAGTCCACAGTGCTCTCTGGATGTAGGTGAACTACAAATCCAAAACTCAAGGTCAACGCCCACCAAACCCTTCCAGTATTTTCTGTTGGTCATGGGAGTTCTGTGTGCCATGTTTGGTTCGATTCCATCGTTGGTGGAGTTCAGAATGCTCTTTGATTGTAGGTTAACTATAATTCCCAACAACTACAATTCCCAAATGACAAAATCAACCCCACCCCAACTCCACCAGTATTAAAATAATAATAATAATAATAATAATAATAATAATAATAATAATAATAATAATAATAATGCTTTATTTATACCCCACTCCCATCTCCCAAGGGACTCGGTGTGGCTTACATGAGGATTTGTGCCAAATTGGGTCCAGTGAATGAAAATACATCCTGCATATCAGACATTTAGATTACGATTCATAACAGGAGCAAAATTACAATTATGACGTAGCAACGAAAATAATGTTATGGTTGGGGGTCACCACAACATGAATAACTGTATTAGGAGGTCACGGCATTAGGAAGGTTGAGAAACACTGGTCTGGGGAAGCCTAGAGAGGTTTTTAAGCAGAGGCTGGATGGCTCTCTTTTGGTAGGGCTTGGATTGTGCTGTTCTGCCCGGCAGAAGGGGGCTGGACTGTGTGGCCTTTGGGGTCCTTTCCAATCATTAAATGGAACATAGTTCTTCTTGATATTGTGGCGGGAAGTCATTTAGGACTTTGAAGGTCAAGAGCAGCACCTTGAATTGAGCTTGGAAGCAAACAATGCAACTCTTGGGTCTCCAAAACACACACCTGACACCGGTCTTCCTGCGGCATTTTACACAAACCGCAGCATCCGAACACTCTTCAAGGAGAGCACATGACACCTTTCCTTTCCTCCCTTCCTGCAACACTTCATTAAGACCCACTGCCTGGGCCAGGAGTCAGCCGGATTGCTATGGGATCCACTCCAAACCCCAGGGATCCATTCAGTCTTGCTCCAGTGTCTAGATTGTATAGCATGTAGTCCGGAACAGTGACAGGACAAGAGGAGGGACTGGGGGTAGACATCCGGGTCTGTGCTTTTTAAATTTCCAGGTGTGGGTGGACTACACCTCCCATCCCTCCTAAACCTAGGATGGCACTAAAATAGGCAAGATTGAGAGAGCTGTATAATGTCCACATAGGAATCAATAACTTTAAAAACATTAATAACAGCTTCTACTTCAGGCATGGGCAAACTTTGGCCATCTCTCCGGATGTTTTGGACTCTAACTCTCACAGTTCCTAACACCTAGATGGCTCAAGTTCCCCCCATAAAAATACAAATTAACATATGACTTCCTGCTCAGGTTGAAAGCAGAAATGCAAATAATAATAATAATAATAATAATAATAATAATAATAATAATAATAAACTATATTTATACCCCGTCACCATCTCCCCAATGGGGACTCGGAGCGGCTTACATGGGGCCAAGCCCGGACAACATATTACAGTAAAATAAAACCAAAACGTAAACAACAGGTAACATCATCAAAATTACATAAGAAAACATAATAAAGCAACAAAATAACATTACAATAATCACAATCACAGTAACAGAGCATTATATTCCTTATTTATAGAAAATAGACATTGTTTTTCTAGCTGTCTATTCTTTACAGAAGATTTAGGACTGATTGGGTTCCTTCATCTCTCCTTGAAAATTCTATCCCAGTTATATCCTACCTTGTTCATGTCCAGCATTATTTTTATTTTTAATTTTAAACTATTACATTTGGTCCGGCCATTGGTTTTAAATGCTTGTGTGTTACTGTTGATTTATTGTTTATTTTTTGTTATGTGACTTATATTAATTGTATTGCTTTGATTGTTTTGTTATTGTTTTGTTTATTGATGTGTTGTGGGCTTGGCCTCATGTAAGCCGCACCGAGTCCCTTGGGGAGATGGTAGCTGGGTACAAATAAAGTATTATTATTATTATTATTATTATTACTCAAAGTTTCCAAGTATAATATCTCCATCTACCTTATTATCTATAATTTGGAAAGGGTTCCCGGCCCTTCATAAATTCATCTACTGATTCCTCATCAAGCATTGTCAACAATTTATCAATTTCAGTGGTTTAAATATTTTCAATATCCAGTCGATATCCAGTAAGCAGTTTCTTAATATTTTTACTGAGTTTTAACAGGATTTTGGTATTTTATGATGCTTTTAGTTGTTATTTTGTTCGTTAAGTTAAATTAGATTGTGTTAGTGTCAAATGTGTTTAATTTGATGTAATTGTCTGTATGGTTTTCTTTCTGACAATTGAATGTTTGCCTGAGTCCCCATTGGGGAGATAGAGTGGGATAGTAATAAAGTGTATACTCAAGTATAAGCCGATCCGAATACAAGCCGAGGCACCTAATTTGACCACAAAAACTGGGAAAACGGAATGACTTGAGTATAAGTCGAGGGTGGGAAATACAGCCACTACTGGTACATTTCAAAAAATAGATACCAATAACATATTAATTGAGACATCAGTAGATTAGATGTTTTTGAATATTTACATAAAACTGTAATTTAAGATAAGACTGGTCAACTCTGATTAAACCATTATTCTAACCTTCTTCAATGTAAATGTGCAGACGTTTACATCCTTCCAATATAAAAGAGAGTCAAATAATAAATGTAATACTACTACTACTACTACTAATAATAATAATAGAGTAAAACACAATGGAAATGTATTAATAACAGTAAGAATAGAGTAAATTAAATGTAATAATAACAATAATAATAATAATGGAAATGTAATAACAACAGTAATAGAGTAAAATAATAAATGTAAGAATAACAACAATCATGTAAAATGATAAATGTAATAAAATAATAATAGGGTAAAATAATGGAAATGTATTAATAACAGTAATAATAGAGTAAAATAATAAATGTGATAATAATAGAGTAAAATGATAAACGTAATAATAATAAATAGAGTAAAATAATAAATGTAATACAAATAATAATGATAACAGAGAAAAATCATAAATAACTTTGACTCGAGTTTAAGCCGAGGGGGACTTTTTCAACCTAAAAAAAGGGCTGAAAAACTAGGCTTATACTCAAGTAT